TACACGGAGAAAACTAAATTTTTATGACAACGCAAAATTACCATTTTCGATTGTAAATGACTGAATTTCCCGTAGAACTTGTAGAATTTATTAGGTAACTTGTAATAATATCAATGTTGACGTTTTTTTAAAAATTATTTCAAGTTTTTTAATTATTCCAATTAAATTTGTAATATCAACTCAAATACCTATTAAATTAATTTCTGCTGGGATTTTTTTTTTACAAATTCGGGTCCAAATTGTAATTTTTATTGGTTTCACCCTAGACAAAAATTTTCAGTCTCTCGGAGTCTTTCAGCGTCTCTCACAGTCTTTCACAGTCTCTCAGTTATTGCCTAGGTGTTTTTATGGATCTCTCACAGTCTCTGTACGAGAGACTCGAACGTTAAAATTGTTAATTCAGAGATTCGAGTCTCTCGTTTAGAGACTGGATACGAAATGAGGATCTCTCTATGAGCGACTCGAGTCTCTCGTTCAGAGACGCTAAACAGGTTTTTTGACAGTCTCTCGACAGTCTTTCTCAGCGACAACAGAGAGACTCGATGAGAGACAGAGACTCAAGTCTCACTTTCAGAGACTCTGAGAAACTGAACATTTTTATCTCGGGCACTTACGAAGCAACGGGCTAGTGGGATAAATTGTAAATATCGCTTTAATATTAAGGTAAATTTTCGTTTTCCATTTTCTCCGTGTAGGTACTTATGATTTTTCTAAATGTGTCGGTAGATATATTGAAAATACTAATGAGATGACTAAATCGACAAGTCAATAATTTTGAATAAAGCTATTCAGAATTGTGTGGACAATCATAACGTAATTATACATAGGGATCATCGTTTTTCCCTTTACTTGTGCTATAGGACATTGTTTCTTGCCATTTTTAACGTATCTACAAGGTACTTCCCGCTTGCAGGTTTTGATTCCCTTCCGAATATCAAAATATGCGGCATAAACGGTCCTATCTTTTGAATGCGTTAACTTACTGTTAGAAGATTGATTTTTTTACAGCTCCATCAGAGATTACACACCTGAGTGGCTATCTGATAGTAATTTAAACTTGATACTTCCTGAGAAAAAGGGTCTTAACAGACAGATAGGCAGACGCACAACGAAGTGATTTTATAAAGGTTTCTTTCTCTTTTTGAGGCAGGGGGTCCTAAAAATGACTTATATATTTCATGGTCTAATGCAGAAAACCGATAAAAATTGCTCATGTTAAATTGTCTATCACATTCCTTATCTCAACTTTTTCAATTAGCAGTTACTTTAATGTGTTTTAAATATTATATACCATGATTCGTGTTGGTCGATATCAATATACTGTTAGTGACACACAATTGTAATAATCACCCGATAGGCGTCGTGTAGTGATAATCGAAGGAGCTTTGTTAGCAATAAACGTAGAGCTCAGGGGTCAGCAAGCTTCATTAAATTGATGAGCTGTGTAATGTTCTCTCGACCTACTGTATTGTCGTAGGCTGGTACCGTTAAAATGGCAAACACAGATTATCCTCAGATGTGACACTATGGCGTCTATTGAAATAGCTACGGTGTAAATAAGAAACTATATGTGTGCACTAAATATTCACTTAACTTTATTTTCAGTTATATGTCGAAAACTTCTAATCAATCCAAATTCGGAACTAACCATACTTAAATACTTCATAAGTGCCTCTTAACTACGTATTAAAACGGCGTATTGTGTATTAGTGAATATGAAATAATGCAAGTTTTCAATTAATTTATTTTCAGTACAAAGTTTTCTTTTTGAGTATAAAATCAAATTGTGCCCAGCACCGTCGCCATATTGACATAGAGTCCTCTATTCTCTTATTCTTTCTAATACCTTTTTACTTCTAACCTTGCCTATTCGCGGTATCCTCATCATTCACCTGTAACACCACATTTCGAAAGTTTCTAACCTTTTATATTCCGCCGCGCCCACCGTCCAGATTTCGCACCCGCACAGCGCCGGGCTCCAAACGTAAACCATTAACAATCTTTTTCGAATTTCTAAATAACCGTTCGCAAGCACATAAGGAACTTCTTTTTATTAAAGGCGACTCGACCCTGCGCTATGTTCTGCTTTATATTCCTACTACACCTTCCTCTCTGACTTATCTGACTTATTAGATACCCAAAATCAGTCACTTCTTCTTTATATTCGCTCTTTCCCTAGTTTTTCTTTTTGTATTACTTTTATTTATTTTCACACAATACTATTTTGTAAACACCGCTTCAATTTTATTTAAAGTTATCTACAACTATAGGGATAGATATACAGGGGCATAGATTAGAGATTTATAGATGACATAGCAGTATTAGCATCTAGAAAAGAGGAGTTAGAGACAGCTTAAAATAATTATACAGTAACATCAAATTATTACTTATTCTACTATCCAGTTTCTTTGCTGTTTGCATATTGAACAGACAAAAAATTGTCTCGCAGTAGTTTCAAAACTTTAGTAATTAACAAACTCAGACATCTCGTTAAGTTTAAAAATAAGTCCAAAAGTTCTTCGCTTTTTCCAATTAACGTTAATTATAATGAACGAATTAAGTAAAAACTACTATGTAGCATATCTGATTGTCTTTATCCAGATTTTGTTGAGAATTAAAATTCGATGTTTCGTAGATGTATAAACAAGATAATTTAAAAGGATCTTAATTAATATTTATTCAAGGACCCCACTAAGCTGCATATATCTTCAGTAAGGAACT